TCCATGACCTTGGAATGATAGTATGTAATCAAGGACGTGGAGCGTCACACCCTGTGTGGTTGGTGCTCAGTGACCAGGCCAGAGCTGGAGAAGATCCAAAAGAAAGAGGAAAACAAAAGCACCGCTGAGACCCGGGGGGCATAGAGAGGCTTGTTCCGCAAGCCGAGCAGCCATCTGTAGCTTCTGCAACTGCTACTCTGTATCAGGGGTGTTCCGTAGTAAGGAAGACGCCGACTTTGCTATTCCCAGCACAACAGCTCAATGTCTCAAACTTTGACCCGTGCTACCAGTACATGGCACGTACGGAGTAGTGTGCTACAGGTTTCTAGGTCGGGGCGGGGTTCATGTGGCTTGCGTCGTGGCGCCTGATGAGTTGCACCCCAATTGTCCATTGCAAGACTCATATTCCTTTCTCTTGAGCATCGCGATTGCCTCCAAGTCTGTGCCCCCGAATTGCGATATGTATGTGCAATACCGAGTACGTGTGCATCTCGAAAGCTGTAGGTTTATTGCATTCCGGGATAACCGTGTATGATTGGACTCAGGTGTTTTCTTGACTCGACGCCGACAGACCGCTGCACCTGCAAATGTAGGTACCTCCCCTCGCGGATCGATCCCGGCTCATTCCCGATGCGTTGGGTACTCACAATCTGCCACCAATTGACGTTTTTGCAGGGGCATTGGCATATCAGGCATATGTGGGAGGTAAAACCAGCGGAAAACATGGTGGGCTTGTTCCAGTGGAATGGACAGTCTGTGACCGAACACACCGGGACAAGTCCATTTTTAATGCAACCCCCTTTGTTGGCTGCATGGTGAGGCTGTTTGTTGTCTCTGAAAAGCCAAGGTCACAGGGCGTTCCGAGAGAATTGGTTCTGACGTATTTGGCTTGTGTCTGCATTTCTCGGTTGACTATTGGAGCCCCAAACGTTGTTTCGCAAAGGATGAAGAGCGCTTCAGAATGTCCATGCTGTCATTCGTAGCTCGTCCAGGCCGATCGGGGCGGGGAAGCGTTTCTGAGGTCCGGTTGACTCTCCCTGGCCGAATCTGGACCAACGAGGAAGGAAAGCGAGGTATTTTCCTGCCTGCATATGCATTGCTCCGTAGACCTCGCGTACACTCGCTGAGCAGCATCGAAGCCAACATCAACACGCGGGTGGTAGCGCAGACATGCAGGTTGTGCCTAGGGTACTCCGCACCTCCTTAGCATCCAGGCCGCAGCCGGGTCCAGCTTAATTGCTAACGTGATATCCGTACGGAGTACAGTGTAAAGGGATTCTGCGAGCTATGCTGGAGGCTGGACTGGTATGATTGCTCGCGAGAGTGGTTGCGACGGACAAGACAGACGTAGAGGTGTAGAGGAGTAGAGGTGCAGAGACGCAGATTGAGATGGGTCGAGGGACGGGGGAGGCACGACTAGGGAGGCGGAGCAAAGCAGGGAAGGAAGGAGCAATCAATGGCAGAGACATGAGATGGTGAGAGTCCTACATTCTAATTCCTGGATGGGATTGGTGGCACCATTTGAAACCTTTGAGCCCTGCAATACCGCTCAGGCTTCGTCAACTTGTTGCCATTGCCGCTGTCAATGGAGCAGAGTTGATGGGCATCATCATCCTTCTACCTCAAGTTCCATAACTCTTGGCCGGGCCAGGCTCGGCCATTCTTCCGATCCTCTGACAGCAGAGCATATTTCGTCTGCCTGAATTCGAAAGAGCTGGCCATGCCGAGTCTTTTCGGCCCACGTGTATATTGGGCGGATCGACAAGTTATCAGCGGCTCTCTTGGAAAGATGGCGGCCGATATTCGTCATCGTTCTGTCGTTGGTGCGGCCGTCATCACACGACCATCTGATAACACAGATTGGAAACCCGGTGTCGAGGCGAGCTACTAGTAGTTACTCCGTACACCAGTTGACAGGACCCATGGGCCGTACTTATGAGCACAGGTCTGACCACATATCGTGCAGGAACTTGGTTGTCTTCGCAGAGACGTCTGGCACTTCGATCTTACTGTAACCAATTGCCCGATCGGATTACCTACCTAGTCATGCACTACGTCAATATCCGATGACCGTTGTCGACCACCCTTCCCCAGCAAGGTTTGGTGTCTCACCGCGAAAATAACTACAGTATTATAGTTACTCGGTCCATCAGTCAAACGCGGGAGCCAAAGGGCTGTGGTTTTCAATTGCATCTCCACCGAGCAGTCCAGGTCCATGTTGCGGACATCTGACATTCTTCGCCTTCGCCCACTGGTCCGTGGCACTTCACCAACGTGTGCATGACATAATGTTCGCCCGCCCGACACGGAAAAGCCGTCCACTGAGTTTGCATTTATCCTAGATGGAGATATCTGCTGGTGGTCGTCGGCAGTTGGGGGTTGGCAAATAGGAGTCAAATGCCTTCTGCACATTGGCCGCCTGCGACTCAAGACCGGAGACTCGAGGATGGCTCTGTACGGAGTACGCCGTACGGCATGGCCATCAGGCGTCATCAACAAGGAACACAACTGGCCAACTCTTCGGTCGACGGCGTTGCGGCCGCTTGCCGCTTGCCGCCTCACGCCAGCAGGACGCCAACATCCAAGCCAGCCACCAGGCAGGCGCGTCTCGCTTCGTCTCGGACTCTCGGTCCCCAGACCAAGACAGACAAGATCTCCAAGGCTACTCCAGACTCCAGCACTCCCGCCCGAGGTGGTGCTTTGCTTGTCTTGCGGACTCTCTCTCACCACACCCCTCCGCTTTCACGGTGCTGGCTCGCTGCCACCCTCGCCCCGTTCCCCCCATGCCTACTTAAGTAGGCTTAAACGTCTTAGACGGATGTGGCCAGGGCTGTTGACAGGGTCCTTGCCGCATACCCTGTCCAGGCGTCCGCCCTCGCGGAGTACGTGTACGGTGTACACCCCAGAAGAATGGTCCCTCGACTGGCTCGTCCCGCACCACACCACCCACTTCCCTGGGCGACAACCAACTAGTTAGTACACAGACCTTGGCGGTGCGGTGCGATGCCGTTTATTAGATGCCGCTGCTTGATGCTGGTCAAACTTGCGCCATTCAGAGCTTACTCCTGTCTCCCGGTCCTGTGGAAGCAGCCCTGCTCAAGGTGGCTTGCTCTGTCTGTGCCAGGCCCGTAATACCGGAGCACACCAGACTTCAATGTGCTCTGTACTCCGTATGCAGCACAGTCGTGGACGTGTACGGACCGAGTAAGAGTATGTATTCGCTCAACATATCTCTCGAGGCTGTCTGTCACACCCTCGTCTCGTCTCTCCTCGTCCATTCTGCTAAGCACTTTCCTCCACCAGGCCAAGCCAGCACAACAGGGGTTTTGCTACCTGCGGGAACCCTGCCACCCATCATTATACTTTAAGAACGTTATTGGTCCTGGCCGTGATCACAACCCAAAGGGTGCCACCCACTCTCGCCCTCCTCCTCTGCCGGGTTGATTGTCCAGGACGAAGAGAGTGAGTGTTCCAGCTCTATCTACTGAGTGTCGTGTGTCTGGAGTACATACTGGTTACTACCGGGTGTACAAGGGGTTGGTAGGTGCCACCGCCTTGCTCCCTCCAAAATTTCCCCAAACTTGCTCATTTGCAGTATTGATGAATTCTTACCCGAGCTGGTTGCGAAAAATTTCTAGCTCCTTCGCTCACCAGTGGCATACTTGCGCGCTCCCACGTTGGCCCTCGTTGGCCCTGACCGAGGCATTGGCCATTGTGACGGAGGCTGTCAGCCCGTGTTGTCTGCGAGCGACCTGGTGAGCTGGAACTGACTGGAACAGAGACAATTTGCCAGCAGAGTCGACCGCAGTCGCAGGAGGGGCGTCTCATCATTCCCATTCATTGTGCACTCCCAGCTCAGGACCAACCCATACGAATACCGGCTCTCTGGTGCTCGCCCACCCTTCTGCCACCCGTCTCGTTATCAGCCGTTCCACCCCATACTTTGCTCGACTCTCCTTCCTCTCACTTCCCTTTCTCACTTATTTCACTTCGTCATCTTGGGCGTACCCATGGTACCACCCTGTTCACCCGGTCCGCACATTCGACAGTCATTGCTCACTGCCTAAACGTCCATATCTGACGAACTGGATGCTCATATGTCACACCAACAACGTATAGAGCTTCTGTCTTTTGGCCGAGGACTGCCTCCCAGCAAGAACCGCTCTATGCAAAGCCAAGGACGCCTCGAAACTCCTTCCTATTTGCTCCACATAGAGCATCGGGTTGTGATAGTGACTGCATCGACATCGTGAACCCCGACCTGCAGATCAGCTCACTCACCGACTACTCATTTCGAAAACCCTGGCCGTCATTTGTTCTACACCACTCATTCACCCAGCCGAAAGACATTGCTTTATACGGGTTTTTTTTTCCACCATTTGGACCAAATCCAGAGTGCAGCTCTTCGGACAGCCGCTTTTCCTGGTCTGGACCGGCGCAGGGATTGCACCCCGACGCTACTTCGAGGACCATCTATATCGCCAAGTGTTGAAAGCTCCCATCTCCAGGAGAAGCATCCATTCTATAATTCAAGAAACTAGTCGTCATCAAATAGCAGACATTTACCGAACAACACAACTGGCATGCGTGGTAGTCACTAGGGCAAGTTTCTGAACAGTCTTGATACCAGGACCCGATCATCAAGCCAAGGTTTACACGACATGCGATAAATGGGCCTGCCGGTACCCTGTCCAATTACTGTGTGTTATCAAAGTCATTGGACTTTTGAAGTGTTGTCGGCTTCGGGATATAACTGACAGTCTGTCCGCCGCGTCGTTGGAATTGTCGCCGTCGTTGCACCAAATGAATAAGGCGCACAGTGTTGGACGTGCCGCAGTTGCATTAGTCGTCTCGCCGCCGACCTATTAACATAAATTAGCTATTTGTCATTTCCTCTGGCTTGTCGCTGACGTGTCAGGGCCAACTGATTTGTTGTGACGACTGCTTAGTTCTACATACAGTTCAAGTCCTTCTGTTGGTCGACTTCCATCTCTTTGACCATGGTTCGGCCCTTCCCGCGGGACGAGTTCCCACGACAGCCGTCGTTCCAGCAGCCATGCTTTCCTCCTACCTCGAGGCACGCCTCATTCTCAGGAGAGAGATATGTTGGCGATGCAGTGCCACGAGCTGACTCTTTCCCCCAAGACCGCTATGGTGTTGATCCTGGAGACGGCCGCTTTCAAGAGGCCTATGACTTGCATCGCCGCCACCCCCCAATGGTGAGATCTGTGCCATGTTGGTCGGACTCGTGCACGACACTAACGACTGGACCGATCCAGAAAATTGATGAGGCGCTCCGCTCACACTGCGGAATCGCTGGAAAGCAATACTTCGTTGCTGTTATCAGTGAAGATGGAAAGCCAATGACATTTTTCAGTCCATCTCAGAAGCTGAACGACATGACGATTCGACAGTTCTTTGACACGAGTAAATTCCAACATGTCATGGCCCGGGTTGAGGCTGGTAAGATCCAAACCTGTCCTGGCCGGCAAAGTCGGTGGTGCGCCGCATCAATTTGTCGCTGACCGTGCACGCTCTGAATCCTAGGGGCTGATCCGATATTGGATGATGGATTGCAATTTGAGGATGGCTCTTTCAGCAGGAGTAGTAGTTTTGGACGCATACGAGCTTCGGATCGACGTCGCAGTTCTGTTTATGATGATTGGGAAGGTCCTCCGCGACCGGGACGCAAACGACCTCGGCCCCGTCATCCAATCAACGAAGAAGACGACATGCCAGTGACTGTATCATCACGAAAGGGTATCAAAATTGGCGACGGGGATGGAGTTTGGAGTTTCTACGAACAACGTTTCAAGAATTGCCAACAGACTGCCTGCAAGTTGATAGCCAAGGCATGGGTCAAGGCCGTGGAGCCCAAAAAACAGTCAACTCATCCATATACAGGCAGCGACGAAAAGGCACCGGATTGGTGGCCCAAGCCCTGGGGCCCTACGAAAGACGACAAGGTCAGGCATAAGGAGCCAGACCATCTATACAAACGAGGTGTGTTCCTAGCTGGCTAACGATGACGCGGCAAGGCTCAACCAAGAACTGACATGGCCATAGAACGAGTTCACCTATTAGCTCATATATTGAGACTTGTAGTCGAGCCCAACAGCAAACAGCACAACGACATCCAGAAGCTTGGTCTCAATGTGAAGAAGTTGGAAGAGACAACGTACGAGGCGCTATCGTCATTCTTTATGGACAACGACACCAACGCCAAGAAGCGACCATATTTGAACGAAATTTTCAAGATGGCCAGGCAAGAAGAACGTTTCAAGAACGGCGAGATAGGTAAGTCTGTTGATGGTGCCCACAGCGCGCTATATGCAACTCGTTGTCATTTGCATGGGGCGTTGACGAAATTCACTAGACGGATCCACCGAAGTTTATGTGATGGCGGAGGACAAGCTTCCCGAGAACTACGCCTCGGACAATGAGGACGCCGTGTTCCCCAAGGATGAGGAGGATCATGAATTGCAGCGTCCCAAAGTCAACACGCAGCCGCACTGCATTGTTCATACGCCAACGACTGGACCCGGCTCAGCTCAACCGCTCCACGGCGGTCACGGCCCATTCATTGGCGAACTACCTGTCCGAGGATCTTCCTTCAACCCCAGCATGTTACCCGCGGACATGGCGTCGTCGCAACCACACACTTTCGTGGACAGCAGCGGCATCACGGTCACGGATCAAACCTCAGTCACCGCGTCTGGCGGGTCCTTGGCTTTGGACATGGTAGCAAGTCCCCACGACAGCAGCCGGCGCCCCTCGGTATTCAGTGAATACACGAGCCCAGGAGGTAGCAGCTTGTATGCTCAGCAATGGCAACAACCGGGCTCAAACGGCCCAGGGCAGGCATCAATGTATGCATACACGCCTGCGCAGGGAAATCCTCAGCAGACTTCGTTTATAGGTCAGGGAGTTCCCATGAATGCGAACACGGCATTCATGGGGGGCACATTTGAAGGATCTCCGCGATCAGAGTATGATGCAAACGGGCCTCCGATATTCCGGACGGGAGATATGCCTCATACCCCAGTAAATCAATCGCAAGGGTACTATGTCCCCAACGATGGCAGAAGCGGGCTACGAGTCATCACCCAAGTGGTGGACGGTGTTCCTAGAGCCCAATTGCAATAGCACGGCGGCTTCATACACGTCAAAGGCATCAAAATTGACACAAAAAAAAAAAAAAAAAAAAGGCGGGGGAGAAAGAAAGGATGGGGGGTGGGAGGCGCAAATAACGTCTCTTCCAGCGTATGTAGGCAATGATTCTCTCTGTTTGGCCATCCTGCTCCACCAGTTGTCAGGCCAACCAAGCGAGATGACTTTGCGACTTTGCAGGAGAGCAACAGTTGATGCATAGAGTACGGAGTAGCCCGTCAAGGAACTGGACTGGGGAGAAGTCTTGAGCCAGCATCTTTCTAGGGTCCAGGACCACAGGACTAGCACCACTACCGCCATGCCCAGGGCGCAAGGCGCTCCTCGGGGTGTTGCCTGGCATGGGCCGTTATTACTGAAGCAACTTGCTTTGACAGCGAATGAGGTCGTATTTTTTGATTGACCACGATGTGTTGATAAGGGAGGGAGTGATATACCAGAACAAGATGTTTGGCGGCAGGCATTTCGATCATGATTGGGATTAATTTCGAAGGGTTTCGCACAATTTTACTTTCCTCGGAAGGAGATATTCCACAGCAGCAGCATAGTTGGCATGTTTGTTCTCGTCGACGGTGGCGTTTAAATGACGATGGTGTGTCGAATGGATATTGGGGTCAGGCATGTTTGCACGGGACGATGCCACCCGTCGGTAGTGTCGAAAAGGGGAGGGGGCGTGGCAGTCTGTCAAGCGCACCGAGCGATTCATTCTCCAGCGCGGCGTGCACGGCAACCTCTACGAGCCGACTCCAGAGGAGGACGTCGTCATCTGATGACGCGAGGACGAGGTGACTGGAGGTTTAGGTGCAAATCCGGGCTCCACGACAAGGCACTGGTCAGGGTCAGGGTTTGAGGGACACGTCCCGAAAAGTGGGACCACACCAGGATATATCACGTAACTAGGACATGAGACTCCTCAAGGTCTTGGTGGCCTCAAGCCACACGTACGTTTCACGGACCTATATAGACGCCGCGGCTTTATTGGATATATTTTGGACATTACCTGTGTATATTGCCTTGTTTACCGGGCACTGCTGCCGCATACACATAGCTCAGTCCTCCCCCCGGGGCTTCTCTTTTGCTCACCACGGACATTCGTCACGCCACTGCGACTAGACGTCCTCCGGACCGAGGTTCGGCACCGACGCACACCCACGAGCACCGAGGTACGCAGGGGCGACGAGGGCGCTGGTCAGTGAAAAACAGGGCGTACGTCCCCGGGGCCGACTCTCTGGACTGCAAACAGCGTGGGCGGAGTGGCAGAGACGCAGGCGGGAACAATGGGAGGCCAGGATAGGATGGCATGGCGAGCACATACGTGGTGAGGAGCACTGGTGCTGTTCCCGCGAACAATGCCCGGGGCCCGGGGAGGCTCGAGCAGGGCATCATCTACGGAGTACCGAGTACGTTTACGACGTATGCAAGATGGGACGGTGGCCCGATCAGATACAGCGAACGCACGAGCACGGCCCAGTGAGTGCTGTCTCTGTTGGCTGTCCATCCTTGTCCATCGACCAAGTCGCAGACCAGCCGAGGTACGAGGTGTAAAAGGATGAAAAGAGAGAGGGGGAGAGAGAGGCACAATGGCCCGCCAGACCGGCCATGTCAGGAACGACAACCAAGAAGTTGACGGCCAAGTCTTTTTGATTCCACGCTTACGGAGTACCACTATCACTGATTCACCACGACTTTTCCCGGCGTCGTGGTGGCTGCCGCCCCCCCTTGTTCCATGTTGCTGACGAACCAACTTGGTCTTGACGTGCCCCCGGTAGGACTAGGAGAGGGAGATTCATGGAGCAGAAGGCGGACACGACAAAGAACGAACCGCGGCCTCTGCGTCTATACATTACCAAGACATGCGTACGGCAAACGTCGGGGGCGGAAACCAAGCCGTGGCATTGCTCCGTGACAGCGGATTACCGTTTCCTCCAGCTTCAGGCTCCCCGGGACGGAAGGCGTTCTGGTTTCCTCCCAATCGTGTCCTGCACATCCTACAAACAACCACTACTCTGTACATTGCACCATTCTACGAGGGCTGTGGCTGTTTGGACGACGACGACAACCCCTGGGCCGCTTCTCTCCTGACGAACCAGCGTGCCGATGTTCACAGACATGGAACTTGGAGGCCTCGCCAGTAGAGGGCCGGCCGGGTGTGTGTGGGCAGAGGATCCAACGACGAACAACAAAAATGTGTAGTTACGAGCTCGGGCGCTAATATAAGATGACAAAAGCCTCCCGCCCCCCGGGGATCCCCGCGACAGCCGCCGCCGCAGCATGTTTCTGGCACGGGCGCACGCGCGGACTGTTGGTAGGCTGAGCGGCTGAAGCGGTCGGCTTTCTTCCTTGACATGCGCTGCGGTTGTTTGTGTGCGGCGGAATTCGCAGATGCTGCCAGGGGTCTGGAACCCTGCAAACGGCATTTGTTTCTGCGACGCAATTGGGACACGATTGAGAGGCAAGCGAGGCGCATTGGGGAGTTGGGGGCAAGTAAAACTTGAGTGAGTACGGAGTAAGTACTAGCTCTGTTGTTGGCTGACATGGCGTTTTGCTGCGCGAGTTTGGCTGGGGGGTGTTGCTTGTTTTGCCCTTTTCCTTTTTTTTCTCCTTTGGTCCGGATACGGATCGAGACCGTGTACAGAGTACGGCGTAGCTACACCGAGCATGCCGTACATGACTTGGACACAGCCATCAAAGGAACAGGGGGGTTGACAGATGACCATGGTGACATGGTATGGTTGGCCGATGACTCGCAAGGCGCCTGGCCAAGCTTTGTTGTTTCTTTTTGTTGTTGCTTGTTGTTGCGTTCCCAGATTTCTGGAATTGCTTTGTGACTTGCTTGCTACAACTTCGCAAGGCAGGGGACTCTCTCTCGCATTGACGTTGGACAAGTCTGCAGAAGCAGCTTCGACACATGTATGATAAACACGACGAGCCAACAAGACAAACACAATAGTTCCTCGATGTCCGGCCTCCTTTCCGGTGTTCTGGTACTGGTTGCACGTCCCATCCCGAGCCATCCCGGTCTGGCCTCATCTCAAGCAACCGCAACCAACAGCTTGCTCTCCTCCCAACAGACATGAGGCTTGGGTCGCAGGTCTTTATCTGAAGATTCGATCTCGCCCATTGGTTCCCCAGCACGCTGTCCTTGAGAGGGCTCTGGACCTTTGACGGACAATGGTGGTACGTGCCAAGCACTCCGCGAGGCGCACTATTGCATGTCGGAAGTTGGTCAACCCTTGACGTCGAGTCTGTGCGGTGGCAGGGCTGGACCTAAACTCCCCTTTGGAGGAAGCCAGTGCGGTCGAGAGCGCCAGGGCGACGTGTTGGTTTCCCCAAGGTCTAGAAAGAGGAACCCTGCTGATTTGCTTGCTTGCTCCTGGCTTCCGTCCATGCAGGGCAGACAAGCTCAGACATCGTGATACGTGTGAAGATGCGCACGCAGTCCAGCATTTCGCATTGCAGCTTTGACGCCTTGGGTTCCCTCCTCTTGCTTGTCGTTTTCGTCCAGCGACAACAGTATACCTTGCACACGCCCCCTCCCCGGTCTCTGGTTCTGCAACCCGGGCATACATACATACTCCGTACGGAGTACGTGTGCTCTCATCCCGTACAGTCCGCCGCCGCTGGGCTGCCAACGGGGTCACACCGAGCACTGCATTTGCATTCTTGCAATATTGCAACACGGGCATCAAAGCTTGTCTGTCACGCCGCGTACGGAGTAGCATGGCCGGACAAGATCCGGGCCTATAGAATGGCATCAGTGACGCACAACCCGCCGCCGTGAGAGCAGAGCCAATGCAAGTCTGTACAGTGTCGAGCCTCTGCGAAACGCGTACGGAGTACTTCCTGCTCCCTGCTCCCTGCTCCCTGCTCCCTGCCATGTATCACGGATACGCTTTGCAAGGCAGAGTGCAGTCGTCATGCTGCTTCTGCCACTTCCGGCCACATCTGGCGGTATGCCGTGCGACAAGGCAACGTAGTCAGCAACAATTTGTCGTTGCGGCCGTGAGTCGCGGCACATGGACAAGCGTACTCCGTACGACGCCTGAATCCAAAGTAACCCGGCTCGGGATTAAGCCATCGCCTCCGGACTTGGTTGCTCGCTCGCTCGCTCTCCCTCGAATGTCCCTGTCCATCCGGAGACAGGCAGAATCTCCTGTAATACAAGTCAACGGCGGCGTGGTCTTCGCAGCGGTGCACAGAAAAAAAGGAAAAGAAGCGACAAGAAAGCAACAGTGGGAGGGCTCGCGCGGACGCGAGACCGTCTCGGCACGTATCATCAGTGTAACATACATATCACCTCCTCCCATCTCCCATGACATGACCATCGGGACGAAACACTAACCGCTTCGTATAGTGGTAACGGGGAATAAGAGGGGATTAGCAGTCCCCTCCGCGGGAAGGGGTGCGGAGCAATGCGACCTGCAGACGTCAGTCGACTTCCGTGAAACCCGCCCCTGGAGATTGAGTCTGGCCAGCGTCCTTGCGTAATCCGATCAGAAGCCGTCGACGGCTGCATCAGACAAGAGATACACTGCAGCATGCGCGATTGGACGACAATGCTGGCGGTGATTCGTTTTTCGCCGCGACGAGCAGAAGCCAGGGAGAAGGGGAGCCCGAGCACATCCATCCGGCCGGCTGCCGGCAGGGCTTCAGAGTCCAGACGGCGTACGGAGTATAATCATAATAGAATAGTACGACGCACTCGCGAAGGTGAGGCAGAGGGTGAGCAACAGCAACAAACAGCAACAGCAACGTTGCAAAGCGAAAAGGAACAGAAAACCACAGCCCCAATCGTTGGCTCGGCTGCAAAACCGTCGAGTCACGTCGTCAGCTTTTGTTTCGGTTGGCGGAAACCAAGCCGGGCCGGGCAGGAACAGAGAGCGCCGTTCCTTCCTCGGCCAGAGCCTGGAAAAAGAACCGCCGGTTCCCGGACTACTAGCGCGAAGCATACTGTTGCGTCAACACAGGATGCCGTCTCGCGATTGGCCGCAAAGACGTTGCCCAAGTAAATTGGCAGCTGGGCCAGTTTGGGTTGATAACCAACTAAGTTACCTCGTTGGCGTGCCGCAACTCTGTCAGCTGCTCGTGCGTCCACGCAGAGCGCGTGATTGACGCCTCGTGACCCGGCACGCGATACACGGCAGCGGCGGAGCGAGTGTAGCTCTTGCTGGCTGGCATTGGCGATGGCGATTCCACTGCTGCCCGCTGGCTGCTACGCATCCGACCCGTCATCATTGTAGGTGAGGTCTGCATGGACACGCGTGGGCTGTTCTGACAAGCACTACTCCGTACTCGCCGGCCTCTACAATGCGTGTCCCAAGTCGTTGCTTGCTTGCATGCGTGGCTGGCAATGGGGCAGACGCCGCACTCTGGGGGCGGCTAAACTCGAAAATATGAAAACGGTCATTTCCAGATCTGCAGACCGCATGAGCCTCAGTGCTTGATGGGATTCCGTCGACGAGCTCCCAGGGAACGGGAACAAGGATCGTGGCGTGTCACTGCGCACGGCATTTGGTCTCGTGCTGACTTGGGCCGGCCGTCTTGCCAGGGCAGACGGGCCTCGTCACATGTGATACGTGATATGGTATTCGACGGCAGCAACCACCGCCCGGGTTGGCGCAGTGCTGTGCAGTCGCAGCCTCAAGAGTCAAATCCACGACACCACGTACGCTTTCCACAAGAACGCATGGAAGGCTCGTTGTCTCGAGAGAGAATATGAAGACCAGTAAGCGATGGGACAAAGACGATGAGGCCTCCCTGGAGGACTTGACTCCCTCCAGCAACAGAATCCCGAATACACGCCGGTCTCGCCTGCACAAGGTATTTGAAACCTACGCAACCCATGGTCATTACGCGCAATGGCCTCGTCAAGGTCCATGTCCCGCGCGCAAATGTGCCATGATTCAGCTCGCCTCACAGAGATAGATGGATACCGTCGATTGTCCACCGCTCGTGCAGCATACAGCAGTGCAATGCTCGTCCATGGCAGAGAGCTCTCGTCAGCTCTCCGCGACGACTGAGCGCAGTCGACGAGCTTCTTCTTGGCAGAGGGAGGGGATAAGGCGTTTTCCGGTTTACAGAAATCGCGTGGCACCAGTGGTCTGTACGTGGAAACGCCCTGCTCCGTTCCCAGGAGAAAAACTGGCTTCGCCGCCGGGATGCGTTGGACCCAACACGGCAGCGACGACGGCAAAGGGCCCGGTCGTGTCCAGTGTCAACGTCCCGTGAGAGGAGCCAAGCAAGAGAAACTCGGAGCAGGCTGCTCTGTGGGCTGAACGCCTCTTCTTCTGAAGGTTGGCAAGGAGCCATTGACCACGGGCCGTTCATGGGACATCCACTGGCATCGTCGTATAACGAGCATGTTGGGGCCCATCAAGACGGAACGGAAGATGCGCCCCGGGGTGCTTGCAGCTTGGGTTTGATTTTGGATCACTTCTTGGAACGCTGGGAGGGCCTGTTCTTTTTGCCCGTTGTCGGCTCACGTCACTTTCCTATCACTGTGCAAGTATAATTCTCGTCTGAAAATACCGTTACTGGCGAACCACCGGCACTTGGGCCGTTGTCCACGACCGAGAATATAAATAAAAGCCGGGCAGCCGCCGCGGGAGACAGCTTGGCATGGTTTCGAGCTGCTCATGGGACAACGTGGCGGGCCTAAAAATCCACGCCATTTCGAGAGTCAACAATTCTTCACCGTACAAGACTCGCATTGGAGAGGCGTTTTGTACCAGCGAGGCTGTATTGATATACCATCCAGAGTAGCCATATTAATCTCTTATAAAAGAGTGGAAACAAACACAACATAGCCATAAACAAAGATAAACCACGCTGCGCAAACCATGTCAAAGCAGTAGCCAGGTCAGACAACTGCCACAGCGCGAGCAACGCATCAACGCCCGTCGACCCATCATCCAAATTTCAATGACCCGCAGTCCACATTTGCAGTATATCTTCTTCCAGAGTTGCCTGAACCGGCGTTGATACGGTGTTGATTTTTTTCTTTTTTTTTTTTGCTCTCTCACGGGGAGAGAAAACTAGATTCGAGGCGTATCGGCGCAGCTGTTCGTGACCCCAAGCTCTCTACTTTCGGGTGTTGTTTCTTCTGCCAGACATCTCCTCGAAGTCTAGGCCTTCTATGCAAGCTGCTGCGAGGAAACTGATTTCCACCGAGGTGTTTGAGCTATCCGGCTCCGCTCTCCACTATCGGAGATTTTGCACTAGAAAACCAGTAGATCTGTTCTTTGTTCGACTTCCGTAGTTCCCGTGGCATTCGTCGTCCACTGAGGCCGGGATTGCTTTGCGCTAGACACCAGTAGATTGACTACTTTTTTGATTTCCTGACTCAATACTGTTCATGGGCTGGTTTCCTCCTTCGGTTGCGGAACCATCATGTTGGCCCCAAGTAAAATTGTTGCCTCCTCAGCTGCCTCTGACTCGACTCCTTTGTGGGATCCCCTGTCTGACTCTGATCGCGGATTCCTAGCAGGCATTGAAGGTGGCTCTTTTTCAGGCATCTAACTTGACGCAGCTCCCGAGTTAGGCTCCTCCTTTGGCTGAGGGGGCTCCAAGCCAGCATTCTGTGCCACGCGCTTCCAAGTCTCCAACTCTCTGTACAAACGTTCGCATTCTTGCTTGAGCTTGTCGTTGGAAGCACTCAGTTCGGTGATTGCTTGTTCGGTGAGCAACTTCTCCAGAGTCCACTTTTCGATGTTTTGCTGTTCATTTTCCTTGAGTTGAGAAATAAAGCTGACTGCACGTTGCAGAATTGATCCCTTGTTCTTCTCGGAACCCGGAACAATCTTGGCCAGCTCGTTGATGCCTTCATTGATGGTCTCACGCCTTCTTCGTTCGACTTTTGAAAATGGTCAACAAACGCTTCAATCAGGGCGTTCCGAGGGAACAGGCAGAGAGCAGGGCATTTACCTTCTTTGTGGTTGTCCTTACGCATCTTGTGCCACTCCTCGGAACCCACGGTTGGCTTGGGGTTCGACGTGGCTGATGACGCAGAGTATCGTTGAGCCGGAGGCTGGACTCCATTTGCTGCCGGTTGTTGGGTTACTGCTGAGGGATCCATGATATCTGACTGGGCAATCTCAGGATTGAATGACGCATCGGATTGGTGTTCGCCATCGGCGGCTGCCTGGGCCGCAAACTGCTCCTCCGTCGAGGAAGGTACATGAAGTGTAGGATACATGCCAAGTGCGGCCTGAGCCGTGCTAGTGGCATTTGAAGGATCAGAAGCATCGGTGTGATCGGCAGCTGCAGCCTGCTGCAAGGCATTGAAGTCGGCAACGTTTACGCCATTTGCTGCGGCGGCATGGGTTGCCTCGATGGCACTCTCGATGAATGCAGCAGTATCGGCTGTCATGGCTGCAGCGGGAGCAGCGCGTTTGGCGCGTTGAGAGCCTGGGCTGTCCATTTCACGCTTTCTCTTGGAGCCGGGAGAGCTGGCGAGACTGGACAGATCAGGCTCTTCAGCGGTAGTCGGGTCGGACATTCTGGCGGGGAGGCTGTCGATGGCGTAGACTGAAGACCTGGCCGCTTAAAATAATCAGCACCGACACGTTCAGAGGAGATGTCTTGCGACTGTCCGATGGAGGAGTAGGCATGTGGTCATGGAGCAGGATGCAGCATGCAGCATGGCGTTCAACATGACGAAAGAGGCCAACAGATCCGTCTGGAACATGACAAGTTAAGCCACCTCCGGTGCCGACCTCACCTTGGTAGGCAACAGCAAAGCTTCGCCTCGTTCCATGCGAGATCCTTTGATGAGATGGGAGAGGAGGGGCTACCAGCGTACCAAGAGACGGTTGGAATTGAAGAGCGACAAGGGTAACAAGAGCAAATGCATGAAGCGCTTGCCTCACGACATGATTGCGCCCGACGACGGTTCTTATGTTGACGCCGCACGCGGCATGTATTGGGAGGAAGAGTGATTGGTGTCATGTGAGATGTAGTCTCACGCAAACGAAGGTCCTTGGATCGTGATGGTCAATGGCCCACACTCATCCTGTTCCTCATTAATGCCTGCATCGAGGCGGCGACAGGTCACGGTAATGCGTGTCGAGCGCATCGCCAAACAGCTGTCAGCACGTCGCGGCGCTTGCAAGCGGCAGCTCCATCGCGTCGTGAAGCGTCTAAGCCATGATGAATGGAGGCTTTGGCGCGACAGGGAGACGGAATGTATGGTCAAGGGGGCACGGCGGCGATGGTGAATAAAATTGCGTCGCCACGTCGCTGCCTCGCAGAATCGACTCGGAGGAGCAGGAGGTCCATCAATAACACCAAGGAGACGGCCAGATTGACTCCGTGAACAGGGACGAGCAGGCGCATAAAACAGACATACCTTGCAGATCATGTGCTCCGGAGACTGCCAGATCACGGGTTCTCAACTCACGTGTTTTGGGTGAATCTCGTGATATCGCGCCGACCGGGCGTCGAATGTAAGTCGCGGCCGACCCGCAGCTTTTTTGCACAGACAGAAGGCGGAAACAAAACGGGAAGAACGGAAACGGGCGACGGGATTAACACTCGAGGTGAAGCGACAGCTCCAAGACGAGATTCTTATGCTTCTAGTTACAAGGGGCGATAAGCTGAGTAGGACCAGGTTGTGCAGGACGCGCCTGGGACTGGAACCAGAGAATTTTGACCAGAGACCCCCAGGACCAGGACGGACGGACGGACGGTGAGGGCGAGCAGAGAGGCGAGGCAAGGCAAGGCAAGGCAAGGCAAGGAACGGTTAGCAGGTCCGGGGTGGTCACTGGTGCAGTGGTGACCTGCCTGGTCTGCCGTCTGCTTTCGTCTCCCTCGCAAGGTGGGTGGGCGAGGTGGGCGAGCAGGCAGTTGGTCGATCGACTTGCTGGGTCACGCGGCGGAGAGGGATGTGGAACACGTGCAGCGCGAGACGCAAATGATAAAATCATGGAGGAGGGGAGCCAGAGGCCGCTTCGCCTCGAGCTAGTCGGCGTGACGTGGCTGCCTCAGGCAATAAAGGCTCTTCAGCCAATCATGTGCCGTCGTTGCTCGATACACTGGGCCAGGCCCAGGACAGCCGGTAGGAAATCGTGGTGAAGGCCCCGGTACTGAGTACTCGTGCTCCGTGCCCAAGCGTCGTGCTTTGAGTCTGTACTCCATACCTAGGAAGCAGAGCAAGTGGCCCTCCTCCCGGCTCAACCTCTCGTCTTTGGAGCTTCATCATCACAGTCACAATCACAGGACGGCAGCCATATCCAGCCGTGGACAACCTCTCCCGGACTAAGATGCAATGACTCCATTCATTGTGTGCTTGTGCGCTTGCTGGGCCCTCCAAATTCTCGCTGCACGTGCCCCCGGACGGTAAACGTGACGTGCTTGTCTCATTTTTGCCATAGCAGGCAAACAGCAAGGCAGCCGTGTCGATAGACCTCCCATCTTATCTTGCTGCCTGTCAGGTACGGTACTGCCCGATGCCCAATCCCGTGTAACCCTCTCGGGTTGACTCTGGGAGGCTTGCATCCTGATTCCTACGACTATGTATCCTGAAGCTCGACGAGGCAAAGGCACGCCACCGTCGATGCCGCACCGCCTGGTGGAGGTTGTTCTCCAGCGCATCACTTGACGCGAGGTGGTAAAGCAGAGTGAAACAGGTTATTTCTGGAACCGTGTGTGTTACAACTCGATGGTCCAGCACTTTTATCAAAGCGATACCAGCTGCATGTCTCAACGACCGTGACACCGAGGCGATGGCGTTGTGTGGCCGCCTTGCTGAGTGCCAGCCGGTGAATCGATTTGCAGCTTGTAGGAGCGGGAGTATCGTGCGCAGGTTGGTCCATTTCACGGCTGAGGCCACGTTGAAATCCTTGAACTGCGGGCTTGTTTTGTTTAGTAGTCTCAGTCAGTCTTCCTGGCGGGCTACCTGACATTTCCACAGACATAATAGAGTACCGAGCACGCCATCCTGTTTGGAAAGCGGTCCACTTCGCAGAATGAATTACTTTTCGAGCTGCGTTTTGATGGATTATAGTCATTGGTCGGGTTTATTTCTCTGTGTGCGTGTGCCTGGCCTGGTTTTTGCAAAACTTTGCCGCTGGAGGCCTGAAAAGTACGGAGTACCGGGTACCTACTCATCTAACATTCCGCGTTGGTACCGTACGTTGGCCCATGGCAAAACTACAAGTCGGCATTATCTTTTTTATAAGAGATAGAAAGATAGAAGGACAGAGAAAACCATCTGGCTAACATAACGCCATGCCGCACGATGTTTGAAAAAGGAGCCTCGCGCTCAACCTGGATCATTCCCAGTCATCTCCTCCCAGGCAAGGTACCGAGGTAAGCTTCTGACGCGCCACCCAGATAAAACGTCATGTACCGAGTACTCCCGTACCAGACTTCAACTTCGGTTGGCTCCACCGGCAACTCCCCTTCTACCCCCCCGACATTGGCCTCATCCCATCGTCGGATGGCGTCCTCCATCGCTTCACCTCGACCTTCTCGTCGTTGGGGTCTCCAACCTAGATTTATCAATGACACACTCGCACCCCTCCGCTGTAGTATTTCTCAGATACACATCATGGCCGACTATGAGCAGTCCACGCTCAAACACCACGAGCACCTTCTCTTGGTTCGTAGCCCACTCCAACAAAACCCCCCTGAACAAGGCACCCAACCACGAGCTGACACTGCATGGCCGCGCAACAGGACCAACCGCTCCTGCGTCTACCCCACGAACTCCTCCGCAAGAACTTCCGCTCTGCCCACTTCACCATCGAGAAAGACACATCCTCATTCAAGACCCTGCTCAAGGACTCTGCAACGGCCGCCGTGTCCGGCCGAGCCTCACAGCAGGATGTCCTCCGTAACATTGACGCCATGATCACCCGAATGCGCGGAGTCAAGCGGAAGCTCACCACGTACGCAGAGGAAGAGGCACGCCTGCACCACCAAACCGCCGCCCGCATCACGCATCTCGACGAACTATACTCGATGCGCAGCGTAGATGACGTCAAGTACGAGGCGTGGAGCCGACGACGGTTAGACCGCCTGCTGGCAGATTACCTCCTGAGACGTGGCTTCAACCAGACCGCGGCCGAGCTGGCTGAAGAAAGGGGCATGCAGGACCTAGTCGACGTCGACACATTTGTGAACATGAGTCGAATTCGAGGAGCGCTGTTGAACGGGAGCGTCACGGAGGCACTAGCATGGTGTACCGACAACAAGAAGGAGCTGCGGAAGATGGAGGTACACCACCACCTCTCCCTTTCACGCACAACAGAAACTAACACGCCTCCCAGAGTAAGCTAGAGTTTATGCTCCGCCTCCAGCAGTATGTCGAACTGATACGCTCACAATCCGAGCCCAAACTTCTGGAAGCCATCGCCCACGCCAAAAAGTACCTCATCCCCTACTGGAAGACGTACCCCAAGGAGGTACACCAGGCATGCGGCCTCCTCGCCTTTCCCCCGGGGGGCCACCCATCATCCGCATACTCTGACTTTTACAAACCCTCTCGCTGGTCCGAGCTGGCTGACCTCTTCACCGCCGCGCACAACAACCTCCTCGCTCTGCCGTCCGTTCCCCTCCTCCATGTGGCCCTCTCCTCGGGTCTATCCGCCCTCAAGACGCCCGCATGCCACTCATCTGCCTCGCATCAGGGCGAAGGGACCTCGACCCTCGGGCACGGCGTGTGTCCCATCTGCTCGACAGAGCTGAACGAGCTAGCCAGAAACGTGCCGTACGCGCATCATACCAAGAGCCATGTGGAACACGACCTGATGCTCTTGCCGAACGGAAGGGTGTACGGATCACAGAGGCTGCAGGACCAAGCGAAGAAGGCGGGGCTGCCGCCCACATTGGTGAAGGATATCCAGACTGGAGAGGTGTATGCCGCTGAAGGGTTGAAGAAGGTCTACATCACATAAGGGGCCGTTTCGTCGGCCGTTCAGTTACTACGGGGATAACATGTAAGGAAGTTGTTGGCATGCATCGTAAACATCTCTCCCTCCCTTTTCTTTCTTTTTTTCTCTCTTTTTTTTTTTTGGCGTACAGGACAAGCGGCGTTTACCATTCAAGGGTACATCTACAACATTATGACACAGCGTTTTCAAAAGCAGAATGAATGCCACAAGACACACAAGTTAGTACTACATACCTTCCCCTCAATCTCAACTAGCTGGGAAAAATAAAGTGTACCAAGGGACGACGAGGCCCTTTTGCATGACGCACGACGCTACAATACATGATCGCTTTGAAACTATGGACAGATGATAGACCAGTCGAACCAGCACACATCTCCCATCTCATTCCAGCTCCTCGGCCATTCACCCAACTTCAACTTGACAAATGCAGCCATTCGTTGCAATACGCTCCACGTGTCAAACCGACCCTGTTACCGCCCAAAACTCCCAGAAATCTACAGTCTTCGACTGAGCGAGCCCAAGTGATCGATCAGAGAGCAAATCAGGGAGACGGATGGATATGTCATCAAGTGTACGAGGAAGATGACAAGCACCCATTGACCAGACCAAACAAACCCAAATGCATGCGAAACAAACAATATCAAAATAGACTCATGACGAACAACTACATCTGCTACAGGGTGCAGAGAGGCATCAATCCCATTGGTCCAGAAGTCAGGGGGGCGTATTAGGTCTTCCGTCTTACGACATAGGCGGCAGCTGGCATCCTCGGGCAGAACCCTATCTGCTGTTGCCGGCAAAGGCAAAATTCCCAAAGACGCCGCCACCTCCCCCGGGAGTCATAGGGCCCATGTGCGACATAACCCCGTTGGAGTTGTGATTCTGTGCAGCCGCAGGACTGCTGATGAGGCTAGCAGGCACTTGGTTGGGCGTGCTTGGGGTGCCGCCGTTCTGGCCGAGGTCGTTGCCGGCATGCTGCATCATAGGGCCCATTGGACCTTCGGGAACCCCCAGACCCCAGACTCTACCAATGTGGTCCTCAGGTATCGCTCCGTTGAAGATTCTATCCCGCATCTGGAAGAACACTTTGCCAGTAAGAAGAGAGTCTGACCCAGCTTGATGCGCTGACCCGATCCGCTTGACCTTGAACGTCTCGGCAATGTTTTCCAGGCCCGACTTGTGTTCGAATTTGTTCAAGATCTCAACTACAGCCGGGTCATTGGGAGTGAGGAATCCCTGAGTGTGCAGCCGTATGGCGTATTTCATGAGATGTTTGACATCGTATGTCGTGGGAAAATACAGCTTCATCTTGCTGTCGAACTGCGCCTCGTCGTTGGGCAGCGGCGTACAAATCAGCAACTTTGTTAGGTAGCCGAAATCGTAGCCTCCGTGGAAGGAGATCCATCTGGCGTCGTCAAAACATACTAGTCCCGACGGAATGAGAAGTGCCGCAAAGGCCTTGGGATCAATGCCATCTCGTTCAAGAAGGTTAAAATCAATGCCTGCCTGTTGCAGCGACTCGATAGACTTTTCATTGTACATGTCGTCTTGGAGAGAGAATTTGAAATTGAATTGCCACGAGTACGGGAAAGGTCCCTGGCTGGCAGCCTTCATTGCTTTGGGTCCCAATCCCAAATCCGGTCCGGGTCTTGCTGGTGGTGTCTCGCCTTCCTCGTTGAACAGAGTCAGGCCGATTTGGATAACCTTGAGCATATCGACGTTCGTCCGTAGACATTGATAGTGATAATCACTTTTGCCCCTGAATGACCCCATAGGTCTAGCAACAACTCCGGGGAATTCGGTATCCTGTTGTTTTGTAGCGTTAGCATTCAAATGTGGACATGCTGACGTGGGCAACCATGAATAAAGCTTAAGCGAGACTTACCATGGCAATATATGGATACTTGTCCACAATGTCTCTCAATACCCCCATTTCTTCCTCTAGGTTATGTTTCCACACCTCTCGTATTCTCCCCTTATTCGTTTGGGCTCTCATTGTCGGGTGCTCCATCAACACACTGTGCTGCACCTGTCCTCCGTGTTGGGGTTGCTGCAATCCAGCGGCGGGACCATGCGCAAAGCCCATTCTAGCGCTTTGGCTGCCGAAACCGGAGTCAGCAAATCCTGAGCCGTTAAGACCGGCAAAGGCGTTGCCGTTAGCTCCAGCAAAGGAGCTTATCTGAGTGTTGGCATTTAGATATTGGTTACCACCCATCGGCCCGCCTTGAGGTTGCCCATGAGAAGGAAAGCCGGGTTGGTGGAAAGGCCCACCAACACCAGGACCGGCGCCAAAGCCCCGGATCGGTGGCGGCATGTGGTAGGAAGGTGACGGAGAAGCCTGGCTGTAGTTGAAATAAGACTGGGCTGAAGCCAGTTTATACTGCGCAGTAGTCGTCAAGAATGGACGGGTATTGTGACTGACAGGTGATCGTGGACGACGGCGGAGAGGGGCAAAAGAGTGGTGGTCGGAATGATTTTTGTCGAGGCAGAATCAGTCCTCGTTGTTCTTGGAACAACCCAAGGCTAACAAGAAATTGCCGATGTGAATGCTCTGATCACGGACGACAATAGTATCGATATCGGTGACTTCTCTGTGGGCGAAAGCTGTGCGATGGTTCGTGAAGGCCCCTTTCAACACCGTCAGATATGTAGCGAGGTCCACATCCACGAGATCCACCCTAGCGAGATCGTCGAAAGGCCGTACGCCTTGGGGATAAAGAGAAGAGGGGAGTTTGAAGGTTGGCTTGGTTTTGCGGTTGGCTTTGCCGAGACACTAATTGCCAAGGTATTTGATGCTCAAATGGAAGCGAACTTGTGTACGGCTGATAGTAATTGCGTCTGGGAGATGAGTTTTGTTGCCGCGGCGATGCTTGCTATGCGGATCGCCGGCCAAAAGGGTGTCGTGGAGGTTGCGGACTGGGGGAACCGGTGGAGGGATTCAGAGAAGTACGCGATGATGGACACCGTGGTGACTGTTGCAGCTGTTGCAGCTGCGCCTGTGGTGATCGCTGGTGAAGCTCCGGTTCGAATTCCCAAGATACTGGCCCTGCTTGTTCCGCTGCACGCCTGCACGCCTGTGCCCAAACTTGTTGAGTGATAACAGGATATGGATGGCGCACCGTCACTACCTAAGAGTGCTGGTCAAAATTCATTGAGTACAGGCGCAAGTGTCGACTGAAGCTGTTCCGAGGGAGAACGACGGGCGTTCCGAGATGCACGATGTTCGAGGAACTCGCCTGGAAGAGGATCCAAGATAAGAAGGAACCCGACAGTTCGAGGCAGGATGTCCGTGAAAGAGTGGAATACAGGTAGGCCGCCGCTGTTGAGACTTGCAGATAGACTCGTATCGGTCTGGAGACGTCGATTGAGGGGGTTCGCAGCGAAGCTACTCCGTGCGTGCACGTGTGCTCCTAGGATTCGGTCGACAGGGGTGGCGAGTAAGATGTAGCTGTAGAGACAATCACACGTCGGTTCCTGTACATGCGCTGCGTAAACTGGCCAAGGCGGGTGGGAGGCGGTCTTGTCTGATGCTCCAACGGCCGGAGTTGAGATCGAGAAGTCTCGACGGTGTGCCTCCGATTCCAGGTGAGGCTGCCCAAATCGCAAGTGGCCCGTGCGCGGCCTGCTTGGCAGGTCTTACAGAGCCTCGCATGCGTTCAGCAACTACGTTGTTCCGGCCAGCGGCGAATCAGCGACGATCCATATCCACTCTGCGGGATCCCAAGCAGGCCGCAAACCGCCCTTCTTCGGACAGCGAACTCAATCATCACGCACTCTCCTCAACCCCGACCAATTCCGTCGCCCACTGGCCGTAGGCGGCTCAATTGGAAACGATGCTTCCTACCAGGTACGATTGCCACGCAACTAGCCGCCTGCGCCAACGACCAGACGACACCTCCCCAGCCCTGCCCTGCCCCCCCCGCGTGCATGCCGCAAGAAGACAAATAGTAGCTAACGCCCAACAAACCAGACTGCTCCGAGCGGCCCGCGGGTCCAAGGCCAACATGACCGGCTTCAACATGCGAGCATTCAAAGAGGCCGCCGGCCAGCCGCGATACGACCCCTGGGAGCGAGCGTACGTCCCGGTCGAACCCCCACAGCCTCAACCGATACCGAACGCTGGATGCTGACTTTGATGAAACTGCAGCGAGGCCTGGAGATACACGGGCACCTTCTCCCGCTTCAACCGCTTCAAGGGCTCCCTGCCCGGCCTGGGCACCGCCACCGTTGCTTTCGCCGGATACTGCGTCTACGAGCACTTCTTCATGGAGGACGAGCACCACGGCGAGGCCCACCACTAAACATACCACCGGCGAAGAAAGACACGACATGACATGGGGGGAACTTGAGAGCTCAAGGCCAACGCGAGAGGGCAATTTTGTACGTCCCGAGATATTGGGTGTGGGACCAGGAATTTGATGTACATATATATATGAGCGGCCGAGAAAAACTAAAGAGCTGGCTTTTTTTTTGCTCAGCATTTCGCTCAAGCTGTGTATGAGATGGGCTAGAGCTATTGATGCAAAGTGGCCTCGGACTTTGGGGGCGTTTCTGATACGGGACTGTTGCGTGGAAGCGCACGGTCGGTGGTACAAGATTTGAAGTTTTGCTAGAGAATTGCTCTACGCTGAGAAGTGAGGATGAAGCGAGCCAGTGACCACCGTTTATTAGTGCCCTTTTTGACCCTGCTACGTGACCATACTCCGATGGGAGCAGAAATGACGAATCGAATCCTGATCTTCGCTCGAACCGGCGTAATAGATCATTGGAAGTAGACAAGACCCTTCGTAATATCCAATATTTGCAATGCGATATTCTGAATCAAGAAAATTTCATGGCCGAAATCCCATTTCTGCCATGCCAATGACATCCGCACAGAACCATTTTAATTATCGTGTTGTGAGCACAATAACTATCGTGATAGGAGACGGCTGACTAAAATGTCCTTCATCATCATAGGGTATATGCACATCTATCCATCATCATACGTAACACAAATCAAACGCCCCTTCCGAGGGTAGACCCTTTGCCGCCAACCATAGACTAGACAGCATCTTTCATCAACACAACACATGATGCCCGTCTGCATGCAACCTTGTCACACCTGCAGGCCCATAACGGCGTTTAGTGCCTCGTCAACAGCATTCTCCAGCTCCCCCACCCGCCTCTTTAAGCCCATGTTCTCGTGTCTTAACAAACTAGCCGTGTCCCAAGCCACGGTGGCGTCTTGGCCCTTGCAATTCTGACAGGCCTGTACCATAGCTCGCTCACTGTCCCTGCCGGGATCGCCTGACATTCCTTTGAACAGCTTTTGAAAGGTAGACATTTGGGATTGGGACGACTGGCGCGTCGAACGAGGCGGCTCCAGCATGATCGGCTTTGATATCGGTGGTATTGAATTCTGGTGGAAGTGATTGACTTGAGATTCGGACAGACTAGCTGGCAGCGTGGGACTGCGTGACCTCGAAAATACACTGACTTCATCTATACTTTCGTCATCAGTGTCGAGGCTTGCTTCGTCGAATTTGGTGGCTCCACCGCTTCGCCGGCGGTATTTCGTCCTCTGGTCGTCTTCCACGCCGAGATCCTCGGATGTAGTCGACATACCGGAGGATAAGATGCTGCCTTCCCTGGCGCTTCTTTCCCCTGCTCGAAGTCTCTTTTCGCGACCGAGTTCCTCCAGCAAAGCTTGCATTCTGACTTCTGTCTCCGTGACTTTGTGAGCCATGACTTCCAACTGCGCCTTCAGATGAGCAACTCGAGTCTCGGTCTCGATTTTCTCCTCTGCTTGGGCATCCTTCTCGGCACAAAGCTCCTGGCATGCCATGGCTTTATGTTGGTACGCTGCCTGAAACTTTCGCAGCAAGCCAAGGGCGTTCATCTGCAAATTCTTGAAAGCCGCTGGCGAGAAGGTTTCACTGCTGGACGGTGAGCCACCAGGAAATAGAGCAGAGTCAATGTCGATATTCATGAGCTCGTCATCCTGAGGCACCGATACTGGAGACGACGCGAGACTCTTCAGCGTCGAGGTCATGTTAAAAAAGGAGAACCGGGATGGTGAACTTGGAGGAGTGACGGTTTGCCCAGTAATCTTGGCTGGAGGTGATAGGGCGGCAGCAGTTGGAGAGCTCCGCAATTTGGTAGGCGTGGATTCATGCGATGCCGTCTGATGCTCTGCTACACTGTCTGCGACAACCTTGTTAGATCGTCTCATGTACCAAGCACCGGGCCGAGCTTGGGATCTCTCTGTTATCTCCCTGCCCTTTTTATCACCCGTCAAAGACATCTTTGCCCTGTGTCTGCGCAAGTAATTGAGCGTAGACGGTGAACCCGGAACTGGAAACACGTCGTCCTCGTCCGAGCTCTGTGCGTCTCCTGGAACAGCAGACTTCCGTAGCGGTGATCGTCTTGTCGGAGAGGCTGGCTCAGTCCAAGATTGTCTTTGGACAAAGGCTGTTGTTGGCAGAGACGGCGGACGAAACGAATTCTCATCAAGGCAGACTACGGCTGTATTAAAAGAGGATGAATCGGTAGATCCAAGGGTGCTCATATGAGAGCTGTTGTAGAACACAACTGGCCCCTGGATGGGGGACGGACATGGCGAAGATGGGTCGTTGACTAGGGATGCAGACGGTTGCATGGCGTCGGAAGTGGGGGTTTGATACTATTACATTGATGGTGCAACCCCGGTCCTTTTGTCGTCCGAATAGGTGGACCAAGTGCCAGCTGATGGCTTATACAATGATGCGCAGTCGTCTGAAGCTGCCCGTCAAAGTGTTTGAATCGAAGGAGACGTGGGCTTTGATGAGGAACGAAAAAAGCAAAGAGAAAGAGCCTGAGGAGGCAGAAACCAGATATGAAGAAGGATAAAAAGGGGAAGAGAGAAAAGGAGACAAAAAAGAAGAGAAGAAGACAGGCGACGGGTGAGGAATGCAGAGGCAAAGCTTTTCGCGGTGCACGGGGCGACGATTGAACTCCCCAAGGCGGCGACGGTAACGATAAGTTTGTTGATAATGCCAATGAATGTCTCCGGCGAGAACCCTCCAAGGGCGACCCGACACAAAAGCGGTGATGTGGAGGCGGTCGTGGATGAATGAAACACCGGATCCCTGGCTAAAGGAGGGTGATTTGGTGGTTATTGCAGATCTCTGGTTTTGGTGGTGAGGAGCCGAGCCCGAACAATGCCAATCGACAGCCGGCCGTCTCTGGGACGTTGAATGGATCAGAAGGTACTAGCAGCAATGAAGCTAGCTCGAAAACCAGGCTTCGCTGGCTGGGCAGCTTTTTCTTGAAGTCGTCAGCCCAATGTTGGCATGTGGTGTCACCGGCGGGTCGGCGGATGGAATGTCGGAGGCCCATGCGGCCAGTAGCAACAAGCTGATGGACGAGCCAGGAGGCCTCGGCACGGCGGAAGGGAATGGCCGTCGAGGCAGTCGCTATTCGCTCGCAAAGGTGCCTGAGTATGCAGTGGCGGCTAATGTCTTGGTGAAAGAAGCTCTCTTGGATGGTCAAGGTGAAGGGCGAGAGAGAGGAGGTAAACATGCTTCGACACTTGGGCACTCTATAAACTCTGACCGGAGATACGAATTGCAGTCGCAGGTGCACCTGCAAGGACGGCTGCCGAGCTTGCCCAGCAGCTGCCAGGCAGCCGCGCAGCCAGCTGTCAGCCCAGACAGTACTAAAATCGCCCGTATTTGTACGGAGCATCGACTTGGTGCACAAGTCTGGTGGAGCAGTGCGGAGCTCCCGTTCGCCTGCAGCCCCGCGATTGGACCTTGCTGGACCGCCAGACCTGCCATCCGGCGCCCGGCGACAAGTGGCGGCTGTCTGTAGCTCTCAGCTGCCCGCCCCGCCCGTGCCGCCACTCGACATCCCAAGAGCCCCATTAATCTGGTGGCTGAGCATCTAGGATTCCGTCGTGATCCTCCATCCGTACGGAGTTTTCATGTTCGAAACCGTCAAGTGCTCTGCCTCTGCTGCTTTTCTTTGGCACAGTAGACCAGGCCTATGGCGATAACCTTTCCCATCGTTATAACCTGCCCTTTTGGGAAGAATAAACTTTTGTTAGCGCGATAAGGCTAAAAAGGCAGTATCAAGGGGGTGTATCTATCTTTACTACAAGTATAGCTTTTGGCTCATATGTGATACCCAGTAAAATCCTACACAGAAAATTGCTACAGCAAAAAAAGTCAATTCTGATATACTTTATATATGTAGAAGGTACTTGACCCTAGAGGAACGCGCCGAATCGCTATAACATGGGATCGTCACAGACGTGTTTTTTTCCGTATCCACTTCAAATCTTGTCAACGCCTAGGTTCAACATGGAACTTCCCACTGCGCCTCCCGTCTACGACGCAAACGGGGTTTACTCTGGACGGTTCTCTCTCCCCGCCTTGTCTCGTGCATAACCGATGGATCCCACATGAGAACAAGGCAGCCTTGGAATGCAGGCCGACTATTGTTCGGAGGTTATCGCTGTAATTGTTGCTAACCCAGAGCACCATCTGCAAGCTTTGTTGGGAAATTATTAACAGGACATGGATCAATCAGGAAACCCGGCCGGCTCAGGCGTTTTCATGCTCGCCTCGTGTGGTGTCGTGGGTGACAAAGCGGCTTCTCTCGAGATGCAGTAAGCACGATTGCCAGCTGCTGGCCGCAACGGTAACCACAAAAGTCGGACAATTTGTTTCTTGAATCCGTCGTAAGGCGCAGGATGCACAGGAAATTCAATTTTGGCAATCCATGTCTGTAGGGCTGTGCAACACGTAAAGCTACAACTTGAGTGCATGCTACATGTCGAGGGTGGTCACGTGACCATGGTCGATTGTGTGATGCACACATCCCCAAGAGGCCATGGGTGTGACAAGGGCGGGATCACGATGGTGAGTGATAACTCGGCTTGGAGCAAGAGAACGAACTCGGTTCACAAAATAACATCGCGCGGTCTTAAAGGTCCTTGGTCCCTCAATTAGAGGGCCCGACTAACGAGGGCTACTGATACATGAAGATAGCTATGGGTGGAACCGGACCCGGATAAAGGTCATCAACGAGTTGCTTTGTCTCCGAGGGCGGGCATCGTGATGGCTGCAACCTTTGTGCATCACAGCAAGTCATGTGGTTGAGGCTCTTGACCGCAAGTTCCGTGTTACTGTGACAAGGGCCCGTCTGAGGGCTTGGAGCACTTTGGCTCAATTCAGCATATAAAACACTTTTATATTAAAGGTCCTCGGGTTTCCGAAGGGTCCTCGCGGCCACAGGCTTCTATTATGCAGCAGCATTCTGGCGTGATTACAGCTCTTTTGTCACCAACATCCCTGTGGTGGTAGCAGAAGCCAACAAATATACACCCGGTCTTTGCAGGAGCGGAAGCGACAGCCGGCAGCGCTTGGTCGTATGTCTTGGCACATTTATCAATCAACGATACGGAACAACACAGCCATGTGACCGTCTGAGCATCCAAGGTGACAGGCATATACCTACCTTGGCTTGATCTCGTCATGTAGAATCAAATCACACCTGATTAAATCAAGCCAAATCCCACGCCTTTTGCCACCTTTATCTCGTCAGTCTCCTGACTGCTTCTGTCGTTGCAAATGTAAACAGACCATGTCACGAAACTGGCTTGCGGTCAGCTTACCCCCGGTGCTCCGGCTGCAGTGCGTGAGCAAAACATCGGCCACACCAGTCTCCAAATAGCGATGGTACAGGGGAGTTGCCGACAGTGCTCTACCACAGCGATTTGCGCTCACCAGAAGAGATTAGAAAGCCCAAGGTGGTTTGCTGCGAGATCCCAGCACGGAGGCCGAGGCGGGATTCAATGTTGCCCTCTCCGCAGGAGTGGTGGCTCCGGCAGGCAGGAGCCCCGAGAATACTGTATAACTACCTGTCTTCTACGGGTGACCCGGTCGTCGCGGCACGATTCATGCGCGGGGAGCATGTATAGATATGCAAGATTCATGCGACGCCACTTGTAGCCGCGACTCTTCGAAACTGGTACGACCATCCTTATCCGGTGAGATATCAGAGGGAATCTGCTACCATGGGCCGCGCAGAATTGGTAGGGATCCAAGGGGTTGCTCACATGGAGGCAAGCGATGGATCGGCCAAGCCATCCGGGATACTGTATTCGATTTCAAGCTGACCCTGACGATGATACTTAGTTCGACTCTCTCGCTAGGTCGCAAGGTAGGCCAGAGCTGGTGGGCTCCAAGAAGATCCTAAACCATCCAGAAAATGAGAGCCCCTTTTCCAAGGAGCTAGAGGGTGAAGGGTTCCTGGAGGCAAAATTGACAACCTGGCTGGCGAGACGCGGCTCAAGGCGTATCTGGCGTCAAGACCAATTGGATGAAGTGGAAACGCGGCCCGGCCCGTGGATTCGCAGCAGCAAATGGGGCTGAGCAATCAACTGCAAGTGACAGAGGCTCCGCTTCTCGGCACGTGACGCACAGCAGAATGTTGCTCACCCACGAACATGTCCTGACGGCAATCGTCGTTGTTTGCACGTCATGCAGCGACATGAAATATTGGCACCTCGATGGATTGGCAATGTCGTTGCTGCCGTCTTCGATTCCATGTTCCATAGTACACACGTCTCGACACGCCAAGCTGCAGTCTTGCCACAGACTGTCTTCAGCATGGACGCGAACCCCTCCCAAGTTGGGGGCGATCAAGAAGGGAGTCAGCGAAGCAGTGGCGGCTGTCGGCTTGGGACTCCGAACAATAAGTATTTAAAGACGTTCTGAGCTACGTGAGCAGCGTGGCACAGGCGAATCCAAGTCAGACGTCAAAAGGCGGCGAGTACAGCACATCGCTGCAAGAAATGCAAGGTAAAGAGAAGCAGGGCCCAGCCGACGTCTGTTGAGGAAGAGTCGGGAGGGTGGCGACCAGCGGCGATGATCGAGACGGGAAGCCAAATTGGGCCTGTGTGGAAGAGAGGACATGACCTGCAGAAGATGGCGGAGAGCACTGCAACGCCCAAGGCAGAGTAGCAAGTAGTCCTATGACCAGCGCCGTTTTTCTTTCGATCCTTTGACTGAGCTGGCAATCTATCCTGCTCGTGCCTCTTTGAGTACTGGGGCGCCCAATCTTGCACCCCAGACGCAAGGGCCTGGTTTGCCTTGGAGCGTATCTTCGGCTGTTATATCACCCAAAAGGCCTGCCGGAACCCTTCTGAGCGGCCAAAGTCACAAAACATGTCAAACTCAGCATCCATCTGCTTGTTTGCTGAGATTAAATCATGGCCGGTAATCCACGATGGCGGGCCAAAGACTTGCAGTGGAACCGTAGCGGTAGACTCCCAGGCACTAATGTGCAAATTCTGGTCCACGATCATCTTGCGACTCCGCAGATCCGAATAACTTGGGATACAATACAAGGCCCTGCGTTCGACTGAGACTCGGTGAGCCGATCGGACATGCACTTCATTCTGTCTCGTGCGAAAGCTTCGGCCTGGCAGACACGGACATGACGGGACCTAAACTATTCTCCGGCCGACAGCGACACATCTGGCCAAAGAACTTGGACAAGAAAACAGCTGCTGACGTGCAGCGTATTCGTACGTGATGGAGAAGAGTGTGCTGCATGATTGATCTGAAATTGGAGCTGGCATCGTTGCTGTGATCCTTGGCTTCGCCGAGGACCGAGGGCAAAGCCGCCCGTACGGACAGTGGTAGTCTGTCCCCCTCAGCTTCTAACCGAGACAAACATGGGACTGGCTCTGTCGTGCGATATCTCGGAATATCGACTTTCAATTGTGCATCATGGATTTGCCTCAGTTGTCCAGGGCAGTCCGGGCCCAGAACGACGACTGGACGAGCTGCCGGTCATCTTTTGGGTGACGATAGTAACAAATGTACACTACTCATCATCTTCACTACCATCAGTTTCGTCTTCGCCTTCGTCGTCGTCGTCATCAGCATCCTCCTCTCCCTCGTCCTCACTATCCTCCACCCCGTCTGGCCGTGGAATCATCACATATCCCGCCAAACACGTAATGCGATTCTGCGACTCAAATGTGCCCACCAGTTTGCCAATTGGTTCCTCGCCCGCCTTTTCCTTCGCAGCAGCAGCAATCAAATCATTTGCCTGCAACGTCCACACCCGAACCTTGCCCTCGCTGCCTGCTCCGACCAAGTACAGTATCCCCTTATTAACCCTGCTGGATAGAACCACGACATCCTTTATCCGGCCAGACATGCTCTCTGCCTTCCCACCCACGAATCCCACCAGCTTGGCACTGGGCAAGGTCCCCTTCTTGCCATTGACTTCCCCTGGTGGCAACAAGTCCTCCTCCTTGGTGGAAAAGAAGAGTATCTGTCCGGCTTCGGTGGCGACCGCCAAAAGCGACGTTTCGTCAGCGCTGACATAGATAAACTGATGGACCTTGGTCCTCTGCCCCGTCATAACACGACACTTGGGCACGCTGTCCATCCCAAAGACCACCACGTCGCGGTCGAATCCTACGGCAAACTCATCCGCACCATCCACACTTCCCCAGACAACCTTTCTCCCTTCCCCCGTAGAGTGTCTTCCCTCTCCAATCTCCTGCAGCATGTCTTTGCTGAAGCTTAGAACGCCCGCCTTCTTGCCGGTGACCAGGTTCCACAAACGCATGCATTTTTCACCCTTGGAGACACTAATCATCAGCTTCATACTGGGGTGGATGGCAAAGTCATTCACACCCGAGGGAGTCGCCCCAAGAGGCGCAGTGTCCCCGCTCGGTCTCCCGTGGGCCTTGGGAACAGGTGCTTTGATGGTGCTTAAAACCGACCAATCTCTTGTTCTAGCAACCGCAATCGTGGAGTCTTCACTCGCAGTGAGGAGTTTTGATCTCGACGGAAATCGAAGCGCCGTGATTGTCGAGGCATGGTGGAACAATGTCCCCATTTCTCTATTTTTTGCATTCTCAAGAATGGGCCGAGGCGTAACTTTGGCGAGAAGATCTTGGTTCTTCCGACTAGGAGGGTGCGCTGATAGATTGTAGATGTGGATTCGTTCGTCTGTGCTTCCCGAGGCCAAAAAGACCTTCTGCGTCTGTCCTGGGGTCGCCACAGACGGAGGCGAAACGGCTACGCATCGGATAGCCGAGTTATGCGCATTGAAAAGGAAGGTATCTGCGAATTCGGCCTTGCCGTCAGAAATCGTGGCAGTTAAGCCGTGCAGGACTTGGTCATAGGACCCGACAACGATCTGGATGGTTTCTGGGTCGAGTGGCGAGGACGATCTTGACTTCGGTTTGCCGTTGGCGGCTTTTGATTTTTTGGATGAAAAAGGCTTAGTTGTGGCACGGGCGTCTTTGTCGACGACGTCTCTCTTCCTTTTCGCCATTTAATAATCTTACGATGAGATGCTGCTTGACCAACGGGATGATGCAAGGTTGTGGTGTGCGTTGATGGTACTGGAAAGGGCCAAAGAAAAAAAAAAGGCCGCCAATGGAGAACTGATAAGATAAGCGCTCGAGTGGGTCGGATCACAAAACATGTCGAGTACAGCACGGGTTCACGACGTTTCGTTTTGGGTGCGCTGCTGACTCATAAATGTGCACGGCACTTGTTCATATATATGCTTATTCTATCACTAAAATACGTCATATTCCAAACCCCGCCGAGGCCGTTCATTGTTGAGACCTACTACCACGATGGCCTTGAGACTCCGTCTCCATTGTACCTAGACTGGGAAATCGCTTTGTAAAATCTCTGATATAGTCTTCCTTATCCTGGGTTGACATCTCGAGAACAGGTTGACTTGGAAGGTCCACCGCTATCAGGTGCTCAGACTGGGCAAGCTGGCTCTGTTTAGTTGGTGATGGCGGACGAGCGCCTGCTGGGAAGCTGTTTAGATGAATGGGCTTCTTCTTCGGAGCAGGCGGCTTTTGTCTCGTAGATCTTGGCTGTGTTTGTGCTGGCATTGAATGAGACGGAGGAAGTGTGCTTGATCCGGTGTCACTGGAGGGTACAGCCTTGGTTGGCTTAGATGTCATTGGCTTGCGCACAGAACTTGGCGCTGAATTCTGACCAGAGGGCGCCACGGACTGGTCATCAGTGTACTTGCCATAACCGTGGGCAGTCCTTTGTGTAGGGTTCTGTTTCCGGTCCTCACTGAGTAAGTTCTGCACGCGAGTCTGAATCGTGCTAGATTTGCCTTGTGAAGATCCCACGATCTTGGGGCCGGGTACCGGTTTGCCGGATGAGTCGACCCGATTCCGGTATTCAGCTTGAGCTGCCGCAACTCGCTTCTCTTCTTCTTCCAGCTTTTGCCGTTCTAGTTCACGCCTCATTTCTGGTGTCATGCAGTCATCATCAATATCAATCAGGGCATTGGCACTAGGATCCGTGCCCGGTTCCTGCCTTGGTGTAACGATTGCATCATTGCGTATTGCAGATGTTTGCGGCACCTCAAACGGGTCAGATTGGTTTACCCCTGCCGATTCCTGAGGTGAAGCGCCTTCAAATCGGTTGAAAGCATCATTAAATTTGCCTGCCAGTTTCCTAGGAGCTGGGGCCGTTGAAACAGACGATCTCCGATCGAATTGCGTCTGTTCATCTCGAGTTTTCACTGGGGAGTTCGCAACGTCTATCAGCAGGCTTTCTTCCGATTGCTTTCTACCCTCCACTCTGACTGTCTGAGGCGCAACGGCAGACGGCTGTAGACCCTGTACCGATGAATGTACCGCCATCTTTGAGTTCTTGGCAACCAACTCCCTTTCCCTCAGGAAATCAAGAGTGCTGGACTCAAAACTGGTGCTGGCGGGACGTGGTCGGCTGACTGGTATTGATAATCTCGGCCTAGAATCCGTAGACTGGGCCTGAATGCGATGATCCTCCAAAGACGGCCGTGACGAGAGAGATGGTTGCCTGAGGTGGTGGGGGCGAGAATTAAAAGACAGCGCATCCGGGTTTGCTCTGGACGAGGTCCGTTCAGGAGGACTGTATTCTGAGCTTTTCTCGAATTGAGGTGTTGGCGCTCTAGAAGAGTATTCAGAAGTCATCGTTCCAGTTGAGACATATTTTGTATTAGTCTGAGCAGGAGGAATACTGTTGATTGTTGAAGATGCCCGACTGGGTTTGCTCTGCTCTGTGTCTACGGGTCCTGACGGTGTGTTCGACGGAGGCCGGTCAACCGGAGGCATGGGAAATTGTTTAGACTGTCGTTGTGTAGTGGGCGTGACAGAGGGAGGGCGTGAAGACGAAGCCAGTTTTCCGGGACTCTGTTGTAGCGAGGCAAATGCGTCGTCAGCTAGATCCTCGGCAGTTTGTTGGTCTGGTGGAGCTTGTTGAGACTGTGCTGAGATTGCTGATGAGTCGAAATTAAATTTGGCTCCCTTGTCGTGGAGGAGAGAGAACTGGTCCAAAGTCGGGAAACGCGCAGATAACTCATCGGCCTCTGGAGCCTTTTTGCCACTCGTTGCATCAAGGGCAGCAAAGGGATCACCTGCAGTAACTTTTCGGGACGAGTCTTGGATTGGTGGTCCGGGTGAAACCGTAGGACGACCTCGTCGCATGGGCACAATATCGGGAATGTTCTGCTCTTCTCGATCAGGCGGCGAGTACACTGCGCCTACGACGGCAGCTTGCTGGCCTTGACTAGGCTTAATGGGCGACGGTTGACTTGGAGGTCTCGAGTCTTGTTTCGCTTGCGTAGAATATATCTTGAGGCCGTGTTAGGTACGAAAAAAAAAGGCTTTCCATTCATGTCGCGACTTACATCGTGAATAGGAACTTGCCTGCCCTGCATGGCACATGCTTCCTTGAGGACTTGGTAAATGTTCGGCCGAGACTGCATGTTCTCTTCCAACATGGACCCTGAGACTTGTCAGTGTTTTCGGCGTAACAAGTCTCGCAGGGAAAAAAAAGATGCAACTCCATACCAATCAGCTTCTTCAGTCTGTCCGAGAAGATAGGATGGCTGGGATACTTGAAACTAGCGTTCAAAATGGCCAACTGTCCTTGGTCCTCAAAAGGCGTAGTGTAATAGCACAATTTATACAACAGCACACCCAAGGCCCAAACATCCGACTTTTCGTTGAGAGGTTGTTTTCTATATACGTCCACCATTTCGGGGGCTCGATACTGCAGTGTCGTGTGCTTCTGAACGTCCTCGTCCATGAGTCGGCACTCCACTACGGTCGTCGGTGCAGCTCGTGGAGGGGCGGAAGATCCGAAGTCGCACAGTTTGAATCGCTTCGACGACCGGCGGTTTACAATGAGAACATTTTCAACTTTCAAGTCTCGATGCAGGAGGGCAGGTTTGAGATAGTGCATGCAAGCAACGCCCTCGGCAATGTCGGAGAAAATATGCAAGATCTCGGGTTCCGTCAGGCGATGTTGCAAGCGTGTGTTCATGAAGTCAATCAAGCCGCCACCGTCACAATACTCCATGAGGAGAAAAACCTCATAACCGCCACCTCTCAGTTCTGACGCGTGGGAGTCGATATACGTCACAATCGGCCGATGTCCCTTGAGGCGTTTCATGGTCTCAACCTCGGTACGCATACCCCTCAACGTTTCTTTGTCGGGAACAGCAACGCGCTTCAGAACCGCCAGATCAGTACCGTCAACGGGTTTGGGGAGTTTGACCAAGTAGACATGAGCAAAGCCCCCTTCTGATAGGTATTTCTGAATGACGACTCGATGGCTGCCAACCTGTATCTTGGTGCCAGGGGAGAAAGTGCCAGCCGGCGCGCCGCCATGCGACAGGGCAGCCTGCGATGAGTACCCTCCGTGGTGTGCATGTCTCGAGGCCTGGTGAGGCGCGGCTTGATGGCCGTACGAGGTCATTATGTCGAGGTTCGAGACGGTGTTTGGCCTCGCAAGCAGGTCTGGGGTTGCCTGCACTGCCTGTCGTTTGAGGAGAGTAGCGACGAGCCGCAAATGTCGGCGATCAAGGCATTGGCAAAAGCGTATGAGCCAGCTGGTAATGTTTCCAACCCGGGGCAGTCTTTTCAGTCAAGATGGACGATGGTGATGGGACGAGGAGTAGGCATAATGATTGCCACAGCAGAGCCAAGCATCGGGATTTCAACTTCATGCATGGTCTAGTCTAACCCGGAACAACTTTGCTCAGGCACCAGTGGGCCGGCAACTCGGCGCCATGAAGCCCAGGACCACAGTCCCCACGTCCATTGCTCGGGGCGCTCACCATTTTTGCTCGGGGCGCTCAATACCCCACCACGCCCCGTTTTTAGTCTAGCGGCCCTGCTGCCATGCGCTATAGTATATTCTTAGTATAAATATATAGTTACAAAAGCTTTAAATTACTTAAAAATATAATTTCTAGTGTTTTTACTTAATATATTTACTATTAAGCTAAATTTTCTAGTTATTCTAGCTGCTTAATTACCTATCTAGTTATATCTATTAGCTAAAATAGTAGTAAAATATTAAAGAAATAAATTCCTTAATTTAAAGAGAGCTTTATTTTCTAATTAGTTTTTTTTCTCTATTGTTTATATTATAATTTAACTATTATAATCGTACTAGTAGCTACTGCTAATAGTATTTATTCCTTATAGTAGTTTTAATTTTAGCTTATATATAATCTCTATAAATACATAGTGTAGAAAGTCTTTTAGTGCCTCATTAGCCTGACACATTTTAGCGCAAAGTTTCCACTGCGCTTCCGACCTCATACAATGGCCTCACGGGTAATCCCAGACTTCGAGCCAGAAAATATCTTTGCTGCTGTATCCCACCTCGGAATCGTCGGAGACTGCCCATTCTTGGACGGAGAATTCCACGGAGGGGAGTGTCACGTCTTCAAACTCAGCTTCAAAGACGAGGCAAGTGTGTCCGTTCGTGTGCCGCATCCCAATGATGGTACCAGTCACGACAACATGATAGCTATAGTTCAAATCGAAGTGCGTATTCTCTAAGAACTTGAGGCAAAGGGCTTCCCCTAAGGCTCTTAGATGCCTTAGGGCTAGCTTAACTTTCTACAACCCCATTAAGCACCCCTTCATCGTATTAACTTAGGCCGAAGGACTTCCCTTAAGTTGGGACGAATATTTCCTACTACAGCTACTTCAAGATTCTTTACTTAGCTAAGTAGCCTTAATACAGCTGTCCCTAATACAATACACACTGAAAGATAGTACAGCACAAGGTCATCCTAAACAACAAGTAATAGTTCTCACCATATATACCAAGTTCTACCACTACAATAACCTTCTTCAGACGACGTATGGATAACAGGCTTAGGCGTGTTCAAGAGGGAAATATTCCTAGACTCACTAAGAAGGACTGCCTCAACCAGCAAGCTCTGCTTAATCCAGTACTCAGTGAAGATCAAAATAGCATCATCTTCGCCATAGATCACAGCAATGTTAAGCCGGGAAATATTATCGTCAACAAGAATTATAACATCAGATAGTGCGTGAACATCATCCTTATGTTTAAGTTACACAGCTAACTAAATACAACAGTGTCATCAACTAGGGCTTTACAGCGTTAGTTCCAATTGCTAGAGCTGCTAGTTTCCTCGCTTTCCATGGCCCGCCCATTCGGCTAGATTTACTCCCAGCCGAACAATCCTAAAAGAAAGACAGGCTTGTACTCGCTCTCTGTCTTCCCATACTTCACTAGCAGCCTCATCTATGCTGCGTTGGCAAACCGCCGAAGATGTGGACTTTCGCACTCTCTATTTAGAGTCTATCTCCAGCAAGGGAATGCACAATTCTATGGCGCGCATCGGGTGGAAGGTTGACCGTGTCTTCCTCGGGCACGATGAAGAGCCAAGTGTCGCGGATGCTCAAGGATCTTGAATCGCCGCCGATGTGAGAATCGGGGGAAGGCAATCATGGCCCTGTATCTCTCGTCTGTCGTTCGAGGAAGAAGGAAACAACGTGGAATTGATTCTGAGCAAAAACATGGCTATATTCCGGCGTCCTACCAATCAAATATAAATAGCCTGTTGAAAGACCCACTGCAGGCGTTTGATGACTATAACAAACGGTCTATTGAAAGACCTTAGACTATCTTCAACCTTGCCAACCACAATTTTGGCCGATGACCATCCTGACGCTCGCTTTCTACAGCCAATCGGGAATGCTGTGGTGAGCTATCTATTCTGTGTTGTCCTGTGCCCCATATGGGCATGATGGCTGGAAGCCTCGTTGCATTTGCAAGTGCAGCCTTGCTTTCCATAGAGGTTCGGAGAAGAACTACACAGTGGAGAAGGCTTCATGTCGGCAGGATACTATGGAGCGTGAGCAAGCTAGTAACATGAGATGAGGGGATATCCTCTACGTCTTTAGGCTGGAGATTGATATTGGCCCTGCCCTAGGTGAATTCGCAGGAGCCATCAAAATCGTCTCCAGGATATCTGGCCAAGCCGACCACATTATCCAAGCTGCGTAGGGCGATTATTCAAAATAGGAGGAAGCAGGTCGTTCAACCCCTGTCGACAGTTGGTGAATATTCGTGCCTGCTCGCGCCAAACAGGATCATCATGCATATACAAAGTAACTTCCCTCCAACCATTAGTATTTGTCACCTCTAAGAACTACAGGACCGGCTGCATGAAGCCCGGTTTCGCCTTTTTAGGGTCGACTTGCTACGACCAGGAAGGTGAACAGCACAGCATAGCTCACGTCGGCCTTAGCCACACCACAGATGATCCACGCAATCCCCCAGTGAACACTCACTCCAACGAGCAGCATCGGCCGAGGTGCCATCCGACTGGCCAATGTTGGTGGGATGAACCAACATGTCTCATAGCTGTTGGCTGCATCACGAAGGACGGAGCGCACAGGGTCCTGAACGCATCGGCAATGTCTTCATCACATTCCACCACGACTCCCCCTAGCAGTCACACCGTTCACGGATTTAGACACTTTTGTGGACGAGGACTGGGTCAAACTTGTCAAACCTAAGAGCGACACAGGCACTAGAGAATGAGAGTCTCGCATGAATAACAAGCAGGCAGTTCATTCGTAAGTATTCAACGTTCACTGCGAAAAGATTTAGGCAGAGCATGTCTGTGCTCTTGGAATACCTCTGTGTGCATCTCTCCGGAAACCCTCACTGACGCTAATCCAATCATAAAACTATTTCCTTGTCGCGTTCAGTTGACGACTGTGTTCAGGCGCTGAGCGTCAGTCTAAGTCTGACGATCCATTCAAAATCTATCAACAGTGGCGGCTCCGATTGGGGCGATGAATATGCTCAGACACTTCGTACCAACAGCCCTGCCAACCACGCCTTTCCTTCGCGGACCCCCAGCCCAGAGAATCATCCTGGCACTAGATCTGAATCGAAAGCTCGGATCTGCTTTGAGTCAACACCAGGTCGCGCTGCAATTGCCAACTCTGTTGAATTTGAATCTGCGATTATTAGTGAAGATGCGGTGACTAAAATCAAATTCTCACCCTAAAACTGGAGAAGGGAGGGTTATTCTGGCTTGTACCGCAAGCATCATGAGCCAGCTGGCTCAGCCCATAATGAAAATTAAGAGAGTTGGTGACAGTGCTGCGCCTGCAGAACATATCCGCCTTGACGCAGAAAGTCGAGCACCTACCCTTGAGGTGCAATCTCTTCAGGGGGATCAGCCTGATGTTGAATGCGAATCGACAGATCAATGCTCCACGAAACCGTCACTAGGGTACTTCATCAATCCCACCCCAATGAAAAGTGCGAGTATCTACGAGGATAAGATGAGTAGAATGATCATCACGGATGAATTTACCGGAGAAGAGAGTGTCAAAGTTTATCCCGTCGATGTGGTGACGCAGCGATCTTAAGCCGTGACGAAACTCAAGGCGCTTCACAACAGTGCTGCTGAATTTCCTGAAGGTCGAGGACATGTGCACAGCAACTCTTGATGTGTTAAAGTGGCCAAACGCTGTGACGTGGTGCAGATTGTTATGATGCGGCAGGATCTTCGCATAGCAGCTCTGTTAGATTCGTTATAGGACTTTAGCAAATTCTTCTTGCTAGTTGTAAGTTGTCAAAATAGAGAGTCTGTTGAGTTGGCTACCACTTGGTTAGAAACACCCGTTAGAAGCATTGTTGGACGATTCAGGCGTTTTTATTTTAGCAGCCTTTAAGAGTTTCTTCGAAATCGTATCGACCGCATCTTTTTGACGCTTTCGTTTTTTCCTTGGGCGAGGCTCGGTGCCTGTGTCGACACTATCCGTTTCTTTGCTTGAACGAGGCTCCATGACGGTGTCGCTACTATCTATTTCTTTGCTTGCGTGAGGCTCTGTGGTCGTGTCTATACCATTAAACGTTTCTTTTCTTGAGCGCGGCTCTATGCTATTTGTGTCGCTACTGTCTATTTCATCGGCCATATCGGTACACCGACATGGACATGTAGAGATCATGCGGAACACTACATCCTCTTCCGCGCTAGAATATGTTGCAGTGGCGGTTTGTCGTAGATAATCAAGACCAAGCTGTGCGTGATCAAGGCAAGTACATGCAGGTGATGCATTTTGGGGCACCTTAACCTCTTTGCTAAAAATTTATAAGCTATAGCCCCCCTTAAAAATAAACACCTTAAAGTAGTAAAGAGTATTATGTTCTAGGATATATAAAAGTTGCTACTATCCTGCTATGTGTGGGCAATCGAGGTTGCCTCCACCAAAGCGGATCTGTCCTAACCGATCACAGCCCATATCACACAGCTGAAATGCACGATCAACAAGTTACCACACTATTCGACAAGGGAAGACGTTGGAAAATCGTACTAGACGGAAGCACTTTGGCTACGTTCCCGTTATTGTAGTGCATGGAAGACGCACTGCGACTCCGTCGTGCGCAAGGGCCCGTCATTATCAACC